ATTTTTAACCTATTTTAATAATTCCAGTCCAAATTTAAAATTTAATAGATTATTTTGTAACAAACCTACCATATAAAGATACACAGAAGAAAGAAAGAGAGAAAGAAAAAAAAAAAAAAAAAAAAAAAGACAATGTAAAGACATCTCACAGCCTATGATATGTATGGTAACATATTAATTTACGACTTTATTATGAAACTGATCTAGACTTTTATGTTTCTTCTTGCATCGATAATGTCAAGACTACCTTACCGTTACAAAATTGACACTTCTTACTTCGAGAGTGAAATTGCGACAGTTTTTTTTTTATCGAAATTAACAAATTGTGTAATTTTACGTTCAAAGTAGGTTTCAAATTTTAAAGATAAAAAACTGATCTTTATTTCCTCGTATTTCATCTTTTTTATCGATGGTACATGAATCTTGAGGCAGTTACGTCGATCGGCACTTATCGGGGTTGAAGTTATATCCTTGCATCTAACAACCAAAAAAAATACAAAATAGTCATGGGCTCATCTTTAGTACTCACGCTCCCAATATTGTTGTTGTTGTTACCCGTCAGCCTACACGCCATTGATGAATTGATCGCAACTCCAAAGCAAGTTACAGTGATCATTGTTAACGAATTGGCTCTTACTCCACTATTGGGCGTTCAGTGCAGATCCAAGGAAGACGATTTGGGAGTCCATATCATAGAGGCAGATAAAAGCTACTCTTTTACCTTTAAAACCAACATCTGGGAGACCACACTATTTTACTGTAGCTTCGAATGGGTGAAAGGTGAAATCCACCAGTTTACGATTTATGACTACAAAAGAGATAATCCAAAAGGTTGCGCCAGCTGCAGATGGCTCATTTATACAAGTGGCCCGTGTTATCAACACATAGACTCCCCCTCTCTTACTTGTTATCCTTGGGACAAGGCCAGCACTCTCAAATGATATATTAGGGCCACTTTAAATACACATGTTTAAATTCTCATTCTCATGATAATAAACATAATGAAAGCAAACTAAAAAGTTGAAGTTATTGGATGCATTTCTCTCTCTCTATCAGCAAGCTTAAGAAAAAATAACTCTGGCTTGGATTCAAATCGTTCCGTGATTATCACTCTAGCTATTACTAGTGTAAGAAATATTGAAAGTCGACAAATTCAGCGAAATGATTTACGTTTTAAAAAAGATTGGAATTGAGTCAAAATCAAAAGAGTGCTCTTAACGACCCTGCCTCAAAAATATTATGTACAACATATGGGTTGGGGGATCGAACTCACAACCTCTTTGTTAGAGATATATGTCAATTACGCTGAGCTATGCTTGCTTTGGTATTTTTTTAATTTTTTTCTAATTAATTGTGTGGATTAGAAATTAACTAATTAACTGTTACAATCGACACACTTGTAACTACAAGGCAATATTGCGACCGTTTTTTGTTTTACTGAAATTTAGCGGTTGTATTATTTTACATTTTAAAATGGTTTTCAATTTTTGAAGATAAAAAAATTATCTAATTTTCATCTTTTATGTCAAATTTTCATAAATCATGAATTCTTATTTGAAATAACATACCACGAGCTAGGTCTTATGTTGGAACGTACTTTTTATGAGTTTAATATCAAAAATCTATTTTGCCTCTAAAATTTGAGACTTGGGACAAGTACAAGATGCTCTGGCCTATTGGAGTAAGCAGCTAACGGACTATTTATTTCGGGTTAAAAAAAGTGTAAAAAATCAAACTATCTCAATATTGTCGTGTATATGTATATGTGTATATATATGTGTGTGTGTGTATATACTGTGTGTGTCTATGTATATGTGTGTGTATATGTATATGTATATATTTTTTTTTTTTTGTGAAAAATATATGCATGTATATTGTTGGCATTTAAGCATAAAAAATATGGAAGGGTACATCTCATACTTCTTTCCATTTAAATCTTAAATCCATCCCCCTCAAATAATAAAAATAAAAAAATCTAAGTTCATTCTCTAACAAAATCTTTATTTTTAACTTGTTTTTAAAATTACATTCAGAATTTAAAATTTTCAATCAGATATTTAAAAATATTTTTAGAGAGCAAAGAAAATCAAAACAATGAAATTGATAATTTTTTAGTACAACATGTGGGATGGATGATCAAACTCATAACCTCTTACTTTGAGCTATATGCAAATTACCGCTGAGTTATGCTCGTTTTGACTAATGAAATGGAAATTAATAAAAAATAAAATTATTTTCTTTTGTAACATGTCATGTTAGGGAAGGGCGATACAAACATACCATATAAAGTTGTTCTTGAAAAAGACGTATAAAAATATTGCACAGCCTATCATTTATGGTAAGATAATAATTTAAAACTTTATTATGAAACTAATCTAAGACTTCTATGTTTCATCTCGTAATTACTTTTTTAATTAATCATGTTGACATCGAGGTTACCTTAAAGTTACAAAATTCAGACTTTTCACTGCGAAACGCCAAATTCCGACGGATTTTTTAATCGAAATTAAGAAATTGTGGATTTTATATTCAAAGTAATTTTCAAATTTTAAAGATAAAAAACTGATCAAGTTTTCTTGTATTTCACCTCCCGAACGGTACATGAATCTTGAGGCTAAATTGGAGCGTTTTCGTCTAGTCTCTCACTTTTTTTCTTTTTTTCCTTATATTTCTTACCTACTTTAATGAAATTGTTCTTCTTTTCCAAAAAATGTTCGAGTTATATATTTCTTCTTCAATACCAAAGATGAGTTACATGAAAGAATATAAAGAATGATTGTTAGTATTATATCAATTAGTCTTCCTCTTCTCTCGGTTGTTGAATGTAAAGAACTTATTAAAATACTATATATATATATATATATATATATATATATAYACACACACGATTTAATGGCGAATTTGTTTTTCAAGGTTCGAAATTTTTATTTATTATATGTTTATTTAGCCTCCAACTTTCTTTTTCTATCGAATTTAACCTTAGGCTTCTTGAATGTCTTTTTTCAGTTGAATTTTATAGTTTTACTCTTTAATATCAATATTCATATATTCTTAATTTAAAAGAACTTTTATTTGCTTTCTTGAAAAATAGATAAAATCACTTTGCAGTAACAACAATCCACACACATTTTTATAGTTTTTTATCATAAAAATTAGAAAATCATCTCAATTTGGGGTTTCGAGCACCCTTTTTGATTTAATATTAGTTCAATTTTTTAAAAGGCAACTCGTTTCCTCCACTTACATTCTTAAACGAGTAGAGTAATTGATTGCATTTAAGTTCATGCATGTTCCTTCAACAAAAATAATAGAAGAAAGATTTGAATCTAAACGAGTAATTATTCTTAAACTTGCTCATAGAGACAGAAATGCATCCCATAACTTTAATTTTTTTTAGTTTACTTTTATTATATGTTTAGTATGATGAGAATTTAAACATGTGTATATGTGTATGTAAACTGGCCCTAATATCTCATTTCAGAGTGTTGGCCTTGTCCCAAGGATAGCAAGTAAGAGAGGGGGAGTCTATGTGTTGATAACACGGGCCACTTGTATAAATGAGCCATCTGCAGCTGGCGCAACCTTTTGGATTATCTCTTTTGTAGTCATAAATCGTAAACTGGTGGATTTCACCTTTCACCCATTCGAAGCTACAGTAAAATAGTGTCGTCTCCCAGATGTTGGTTTTAAAGGTAAAAGAGTAACTTTTATCTGCCTCTATGATATGGACTCCCAAATCGTCTTCTTTGGATCTACAGTGAACGCCCAATAGTGGAATAAGAGCCAACTCGTTAACGATGATCACTGTAACTTGCTTTGGAGTTGAGATCAATTCATCAGTATCATGTAGGTCGCTGATGGGTAACAACAACAGTAATATTTGGAGCATGAGTACTAAAGTTTAAAATTTGTAACAATTTAGTCCTTACCACGAAAATTCTCATCAAAATTAAGCGTCAATTTTTGTCATATAACGATTTAATTTTTGTAATTTATAAACTAATTTGATCCTTCATCGATTTATCGGTCTACATATATAAAAAATTAACCCAAAAAATTCACAATGGAGACTAAATCATTACAAACTTTAAACTTCAAAAACTAAATTGTTACCTTCTAAATTTCAGAGACTAAATGTTACCAATTTGAAAATATAGGGACTAAATTGTTACTTTTGAAAGTTCATGGACTAAATTATTACTTCAACTAAAATACAGAGACCAAAAGTGTTATTTAACCTAAAAATTTTATGAATTAGAGTGCCACCCTTAGTTAATTATTTTCAAAAAGAAATAAAGATTTAAAAAAATCAGGACCATTATTTTATTAGTATAGTATCATATTATTGTACTACGTTGATGTTTTTTTTTTTTGATAAGTTGTACTATGTGATTTACTTGAATCAAATTTTGATTAATTAATTACAAAGTATTGGTTAACGTAATCATTGCGTTACCTTTCCTATTTATTTTATCAAATCATTACTTACACTATAAAGATAGCTTAATTAATAAAAACCCATTGGTAAAGATTCTGTCAAGGGTTGGAGAAAAAAAAAATAAAAATAATAAAATTACCATGATGGTCGAGAATGTAGCCAACTTAAACTTAACTCAATGATTGCGACATCTCTACTTCACTAAAGAGTTCCTATAGTTCCACCCTCTCGAGTAATTTTTCTAAAAAATGGTACGAAGAATTACTGACAGACCTAGAATTTTCGTTTGGAGGAGCTTCACTTAAAATTTAAGAGAAATAACTTTAGATTGTTATTCATAAACAAATTAAAATTCTACTAAATAAACGTACTAAAGTTTGATTAAATTATTACCRATTTAAAAATACAAAAATTAAATTGTTACGTTCAGGAACTATAAGTTATTGCTTCATGGAAAGCAAAAGTATTTTTTAACCTCTATAGAAAGACCTCCCACCAAAAAAATAAAATAAAAATAAAATTTTAATAGCAAAGCAGAGTGCTGCAGATTATGCAAATCATATGCAAACTGTACAAAGAACACTTTATTAAATCCTAAAATCAATACAAAATCTAAGAAATAGTTGGGTAACATAACCATTACACCATTTACTATAAAACTCTGAAAAGCCTCTACATACTATATATATCCTGTGGGGGGGGAAGAATATACATATTACCACTTTTTATGTTAAAAAAATGCAACTATTCAGTTACCCGAAAACGAATATCGCCCACATGAAATCTCATGAGACTGCGTCGCCATTTGGATCTACATTATAAGTTAAAGCTGGAATATGATCTTCGTCGGGCTCGGTAGATTCTAAAAGCATCAGTACAACTTCCCGCATCGATGGCCGTTGAAATGGAGTCAAACTCGTGCACATTAAAGCAATGTTTAGGACTGTCAGCATGTGATCGACTGTGGTTCGGTCTTGAAGATTCAGTCGCTGATCTAGCATTCCAGACAACGTCGAATGGTCTCGCATATAGTTCTTGACCCACGTGACGAGATCGCCTCCCTGATCTATCGGCTGTACTGGAGTTTTCCCGGTTAACAGTTCTAGTAAAACCACCCCATAGCTGTATATGTCACATTTTTCTGTGACCTTCATGGTGTATGCATATTCTGCAAGAAAGGAAGTATTGGAAGCTGTGAGTTTGTGTTAAAGAATCTAAAGCATTTTGCTTGAAAATTCATATCGAAATGGTGAATGAAAATAGAAATGTTGGGAGTTCTGAGCGTCGTAAATTCACTATTTCAACAAACTAAAAGTCTAAAACCAAACAATCGAACGAAACAGAAAGATCCTGACTCCATTTTCCTTTAACAGGTTTGTATAGAAAAGACATTAACAACAACAGAATATGTTAATTGCAAGAGAAATTCTTGGTGAACAGTCATCAAAGATTTGGAGATGCAAACATGCATGGGGTACTAAGAGTTGGAATTACCGGGAGCGATGTATCCATATGATCCAGCAACTGCTGACATTGATTTGGACTGAGGCATGTCCATCACTTTTGCCAAACCGAAATCACCGACATGTGCCTCGAAGTTATTATCGAGGAGAATGTTATTCGATTTGATATCACGATGTATGATTCTTGGTTTGCAGCCATGGTGTAGATAAGAAAGTCCCTCTGCAGCTCCAACAGCAATTGTGAACCGGGTCGGCCATTCCAAGTTACTCGCTGTCCCGTGAAGCAACTCGCCCAAACTACCCCTGTCCATGTACTCATAGAGAAGGAGATTTGAACCCTGGTGATAGCAGTAGCCATATAGTTTAACAATATTACGATGTCTAATATTTCCTAGCGTTGAAATCTCCGCATGGAAGCTGTTGTCAATGTTGCTCCCTTCCCTGTTTGATGCTAACTTCTTGACAGCAATGGTCTGTCCAGAATGCATCATTGCCTTGTATACAGTTCCACAAGCACCTTTCCCCACCACGCAGCTCTCATGAAAACTATTTGTGGCTTCAATTAGATCTTGGAAAGTGAATCCCTCCTTCGGTGGGAAGTAGACGTCCGAATCCAGAGATTGCGTTTCTTTGTTTTGCGCCATATCGGTCGGTTGTCTCATGCAATATAAGATTATCACAATTAGAACAATTGAAACTCCACCAATAGCAGCAGCAATCCCGGTAATGATTCTACCTCGAGGCGCATTTATGCTCTCAAACGATGGAATAGATCGAGGCGACGAGTCACCATTGCAGTCGCCCAGAGGTCCACCACAGAGCCCCTTATTGCCAGTGAAGCTACTAGAAGGCATGTTCTGAAACAACGGTACCGAAGGGATCGGCCCACGAAGGTCGTTGTACGAGAAGTTGCAGCCCATTAAACTCGAAAGACTAGCGAAGGTTTCGGGTATTTCACCAGTCAAATTATTGTTATTAAGCAGGAGGTATTCCAGTAGAGTAAGATTTCCAAGTTCTGCCGGTATTGTCCCAGTTAGCATATTAAAACTGAGGTTCAGAGCAATCTGCAAGCTTGTTAGGGAGCCCAACTCCATGGGAATACTACCAGAGAATGAATTGCCACCCATTTGCAGTTCTGTCAAATGGGAGAGGTTCCCCAATCCTCGCGGTATATTTCCCGAAAACTTATTTTCGGAAACTCTAAGAATTTCCAACTGTAGAAGAGATCCAAACTCCTTTGGCAAAGTATTTACAAAGTTGTTCTGGCTGAGATCGAGCCGTTGGAGAATCTTGCAGTTGACTATTTCAGGTGGAATCTGTCCGGTAAAAAGATTTGACGAAACATTGAAAGTCGCCAGCTGCACGAGGTTTCCTATCTCCTTCGGCAAATTCGACGAAAAGTAGTTGTTTGAAATATGCAGCCTCTGCAACTTTTGGCAATTCCCAATTTCTGGAGGAAGCGGACCACTGAATCTATTCTGGTCCAAGTCAATGGCGGTAAGGTTCACCAAGTTGCACAATTCTGATGGAAAGCCACCAGTTAGCCTGTTTCCGACCAGACGAATTTGCAACAACGATGGGCAGTTCAAGATCCCGGTAGGTATATTTCCATAAAGCTTGTTTGACTCCAAGTTCAAGATGATCAGGTTAGAATGACGGCACAGATGGGGAGGTATTCGTCCTGTCAAGAGGTTGTCTGAAAAGTCGACGACCCACAGGGGGCTATTACGTCCAAGTCCTTGGGGAATGCTACCACTCAAACTATTGTCGAAAAGCTGCAACTGACTTAATGAAGACATATACTGAAACCCGAATGGAACAGAGCCAGTGAGGTTGTTGATTGAAAGATCAAGTTTTGTCAAGCTATTCAGGCTACTAAGTTCATTTGGTATAACACCAGTCAGCTGATTTTGAAAAAGGTACAGTAATTGGAGACCTTTTATGTTGCTGAACTCTTTAGGTATCTCACCAGTCAAATAGTTTTCTGAGAAGTCTATCTCGATCGCCAAAGAAAGGTTTCCAAGTTCCCTCGGAATGGTTCCATTCAATGCGGTTCGGTATATATACAGCTTCCTCAAAGAGATTAGGTTACCAAATTCCTTGGGTATGGCTCCACCAATATTGTTCTCGTACAGAGCGAGAATTGATAGACTTGTACAATTCCCGAGCTCTTTCGGTAGAAAGCCAGACAACTGGTTTTCCAAAAGAATCAATTCGGTTAAGTTTTTAAGCAAACCAAGTTCCTTTGGTAATTCCCCTTCCAACTGATTTTGGGCAAGGCCAAGCATTTCCAAGTTCTCACATTGACCTATTTCAGCCGGTATGCTTCCTGAAATTGCATTTTGCCCTGCTCTAAACCTTCTCAAGCTCTTGAGATTCCCAAAAGAACGAGGCAACGGACCCGTGATATTGTTCGTATATGCAACTAATTCAAACAGGGATTCTAAGTTCCCAATTTCTTCAGGAAAAGGACCATGGATTCCATTATTACATATATTCAGCTTGACCAAAGAAGTCAGCTTCCCCAATTCAGATGGAAGTTTCCCATCAAACTTATTGTCATTCAGGAAAAGGTATTCCAACCTCGTACAATTCCCGATCTCCTTCGGTATATTTCCAGTGAATCCATTGAAGGAAAGATTAAGATAAGTCAGGTGGATCAAATTACCGATGCTCGAGCTTAACTGACCCAAAAGATTCTTCAAACTCAAGTCAAGAGAATAGACAACTGGCTCATCACCAGAAGTGCAGTTCACACCAGTCCATCCGCACGGTGTTCGGTCACTCGAATCCCAGTTTCTCAATGAACCAACTGGATCAGAAAGACTATTCTTCAGCTCCAAGAGAAAAACCCCTTCTGGATTCAACCCATGTGAAGTACTAAACAGAAAAGCCAGCAGCAGCAAAATCCCAGCAAGTTTAGCACCCGAAATCAACCCGGATTCTAAACAATGCGACATTTTAATAACCATCCGCCCCGACCAGAGCTACAGCATGATCAGACAACAAAATTTCAAGACCTACACAGGATACAGACAAGAATCAAGAATACAATGTTGACAAAGGAAAGCATCCAAATCATACTCCTTCAAATCATGTTAGATTCCAGAAAGAAAGAACAGAATTGACGAAAAACAGAACAAGGGAATCCAAAAAAAGACAGCACACAAACAGAAAATCCAGATTTCCATCCATTAGAGAGAATCCAAATATCCAAATATAGTTTCCCGAGAAACAAACAAACATCAAACTGTCTTTTTCATCACAGCCCCAAAAAAATATCCAAGTCTAGCATCTAAAAGGGGCCAAGGGACAGGTCTTTTCACAGGAATCTACGAAAACCATATACGACAAGCCAGTAAACTCCTGTGAATTTACAGAAGCTAACAACGAAAATACAATAACACAATAAAAAATTGATGATCACAGAAAGGACCCAGAAAGAAAGAAAAAACGTACCTCTAGACTAGAGACTAAAATCATCATCAGTCGCCATAAATGAAGCAATAAAAGCATCAAGTCCCACCACTGGTTCTACTGTAATCTGAAGATGAAACTGAAAGGGTCAAAAGTAGGAAACCCATCAGCCATAGAAACCAAAATTTGGGATCCTCGAATCAAGGGCAAGATTTGGAAAGAGAGTGATTCAATCTCCGACGCCTTTATTTGCGGCTTTTTCTCGGACCCCAAAATCTCACGAGTGCAAAAGAATCACAAATCAACACAGAGATTTGGACTATTTTATCAAGTTAACTGAAAACCCACAAAGAATTCGAGCTGCTTTAAGAAGATTTTTAATCCGAATGGAGAAGAAAAGGGGTAGATTAAAGAGATGGGTGTTATTTGAAGGGATTGTAAGGCGGATTATTGAAAGAAAGGGTCAGATTAAAGCATAAAGCGTGCTTCCGTTTAATCAAGCAAACTATGTGACTTTTTATTTCCCTTTTTTCTCTTGGGAGGAGAAGGGAAACTTCGAATTTTCTCGGGAAAATTTTTTAAGTTTCTTCGTTTTTATACTTTTCTGGGACTTTCCGTTTTCTTTTATCGAGGGAGACTTTCTTTTCTTTTTTTTTCTTTTTTTTTCTTTTTTGTTAAATTATAAATTATTCGAGTATGATCCCTTGGATATTGAAAATTTTCAACTACATTCAATAATCAGTGTTGCAAAAATGTTTTGTGCTCGATGATTTACAAACCATAGATTTAGATTTAGTAGTGTTGATGGCGAGTTTCGGAGGGGTCCACATGTCTTTCGAGCCATTTTTTACTTATATTGTGTCTTATAAGTGTTCATGGCCGACCAAGGATATTTCGTATGTGGTACGGTGGCGCGCCTCATCGAGATCTGTAGACAAGGGCATTCTTGGGACACGGTCATATTACCACTTGTCGGTTTGTCATTTCATTGTTAGTGCCCTCATACAGGTGGCCTTGACATGTTGTCGGTTCGAATTTCTCCYTCAACATGTACAAAATTGAGAAGTAGAAATTGAATTTTTGTAAGTTTTGAGAGATTCATTCTCGGGTTAATTTTGTGGATTATTGCTGTCGTTAAAATTGAAAGTTTATGATGAAAATTAGAGGTAGAAATTGGTTTTTATTTTCAAATTTTTAAACTCTAAAAATTAAAATAAAAAAGTCAGACTGTATTTATAAATTCACCTTTTTTACCAATTTTTGTTAAATAAATCATCTAATTTTTTAGACCTTGTTTCAGTTTTAACTCTTTATGTTGTAGAAGTTTTAATGTTGGATATGACATTTTTTTAGTTAGACCTTTTTTTTTTTAATTTTAAATAGTCACCAACTCTAAATGACTAGAAAATCCAGCCCATAGATTTAAAATAATATCAATATCTCTATATCTATATGTAATAATACCTTATGAGATAAGTTTTTTTAATTAGGATTGAGTGAAATATATATTTAATATTAAAAATGACATTCATAGAAATTAATATATAAATTTCATATGATAGGAATATATTTTTTATATTATTTCGCAATGAAGGTAGAATTTAAGTATTAACCTACAAATACTTTTAAGATAGATTTATATTCGCGTTATTGACTAGAGACTTGATTAAAAAAGTTTGATATATCGAAGTTAAATTCTGAAAAATATATTTTAAGAACTAATTAGTTTTTTCTTTTGAGCATTAAACTCTTTTTTTTTTCTTTTTTGGGTTGCCAATGGAGATCAAGAAAATTGAAAATATTACTATTTGGAATACAATTGGATATCAATTGCAACTTTGCAACTTGCGATAAGATTTCGATTTTATTAACAAAAATCTTCTGCATGGTGTATATTATCATATTTTATTTTAGCAGCAATCATATTTCTTTCAATTTTGCTTTAAAGGAGTATGGTAGTTATTAATGAGGTGCATAATTAAAAGTTTAATAACTAGTGTTTATATTCAAATTTTAAACTTTAAACCTACTAAGGATAAATTTTAAACTATAGAAAATGCCCTTAAGACACCAATTTAAACTACATTGAGTTGGTGGTTAGATAGGAAACAAACTTACACTCTCTTTAGAGTGTTATATCATCCTATCCAGCCTCATTTCATTCTTCCTCCCTATAAAATTTGACTTGGAGCAATCTTCGACTGGATTACCTCCTAGTTGTTTTATTAGGAAGCACGTGAGTACAAACATGCTGGAAGGACTCTTGTTAGTTTATGAATGTCGGACAATTAGAGACAAATCTGAATTCCAAATCTTGGGCTGGGACGTTACAGGTACAAATTTGATCAAATTCTTGCCATCTTTTTCATTCTTTCCATTTGCTTCCTCATCTCACAGATAACAAAGATCTTTCTTCTCAAGTGAAATAAAGAAGAAAAATATTTTATATATCTTTCTACTTATTATGTCACTAAAAATTTGACAGTTATTTATTTCTATTCACCACCATTAAAAATTTAACAACTATTTATTCTTTAAAAAAATAATAAAAATATATAATTTATCTCTCTTTCTTGTGSAGTCATCTCTCTTAACTATCGTAAATACCTAAATATTATTCAATAAATAAAATACCTTGAAATCATCTACCATCAATATTTACTTAAATCAGGAGGGTGGTCTCATATAAATAATCATTAAACATTCAAAGAAATACCATCAATTAATCGCCAATATGAATATAAATACTAATAATAAGATCCATAACTAATTTAGAAAGTAAAAAGATGTTAATCATTAATTGAAATGTTTTTCTAGCAACAGAGAACCAACACAAAATTTTATCTAAATATAAAAATATCTAATAATCTAAAGATCAAAACAGAGAAGAAGGAAAAAAAAG